CCCATGCTACCAAATTTACATTGTAGTTTTTCTCCTTCCTCAGTGACAGCAAAAGCACCTTCCAGGGAGCTATTTCATACTGCACCCATTTGGGATAGGACTGAATAAGAGAAGTTCTCGTTTTGTCCTCAATTCCTCCACAAATCCAGTGTATGACCACTGGAAAGTCAATTATTTTCTTTGTATTTAGCTTCAAAAATAGACAACTTTTCTCTAAAACTCTTTTTTTTTCCCACTTAGAACATCTCAGCAACAGTTTTAACTAAACATCGCCATAGAACACTTACCAAAATAAATAAATTCCAGTTACAGGCCAATACTGTACAAATAGCAAATGAAAAGGATCTTCCTTGATGACACCACGAATATATATGCAGAGAAACAATAGAAATAGTAAAGGTAATTTTAAAATTTAATCAGAAAATCAAAACAATGGAAAAACATTGGGAATGCAGAGCTCATTAGGGCAAGCAGAGTCTGTTCAGCTGTCCAAGCACAGAGCAGAAAATCTCTTGTTTGCTTATAACTGAGTAGAGTGACCACTATGGTCCCAGCTGTAATCAAATACATAATTGAAAGTGACCTAAACCAATCAAATCAAAATCAAAAAAACACACAGGGCCAGATCCTTCCACCACTGACTCTGGTGGGATTAACTGGCTGAATGCTCCCACTCACTCCAGCAAATCAGAAGTTAATAATTATGACCCTGAACAGCTTCCCACTGCTGATGGGATCTTTCCCATACACTAGAGAGCTTATGCACAATGAGTTACATTAGTACTAGACAGTTTTTTGGGGTTTTTTTTCACCTTTCAGTCTATATAAAAATTGGATGTGCATCGTTACCCCAATATTTACATAAAGCATAACAATGACTTCTGTCTCTGGGTCACCAGCAGTTCATCTGCACTTCAGTCTGCTGCAATGTCAGGGGGAGCAGACTGGCTACAGCTTCACCCCTACCCTCTGTTCTATTTATGAAGATTGATGACAAAAAACTCTAACAGGCAAATAAGAAAAAGAGCATGAAATACATCTACAATAATAGGGAACAATTATGTGTCTCAAAATGTAACCACTTGGAAATTCAAGTCTGTCAAAGAACTGGACATTTAATTATTATAATCATTCTAAACAAGGACTAATTGAAACTGAAGATTCACTTTTATCTAGAATTTTGCTTATGAATTTTAAGTATGTTACCTATTAGGATATAACCAAAGCAATGAAAATCCAAACAAATTACTCCCCTTCCAGTAAGCCTTCCTTATGCAGTACAAGCCTGCTCTCCTTTTTCTGAGGCATCTCAATGAATATTTCTAGCTAATGGCTAAATTCTTTTCCATATCTAGATTCAAAGAGGCAAGGAATATGTATACTTTGCTATTCCCCTAGAGAATGGATTTATTTTAGGACAAGAATAACTATGCCTGCTTTCAAATTTTATCTCTTCCTCATGCTTTCCTGCCATCACTTATGAATGTAAAGGTTAAACTACCTAGAACTATCTAAGGAAATAAATCTAATTGCACAGCTATAACCAAAGTTTGCCCTACAATAATTGCTACTAATTCTATAAGTTCCATCTTTTCACCTTCATACCACCCTGATAGGTACTAAATTACAGTTTAAAATACACTTAGACATAATTAACTAACACAGTCCCATCAATTCACTGGGATCAGCTTTGTATTTTTATGTTGTACTGTATGCAAGAAACACCTCAGACAAATCCAAAGAATCATATAGGTTGAAAAGACCTTAGAGATCATCTGTACCAGTTCTAACATCAGCATTTTCATTCTATGATCCCCTAAGTTACATTCATGACCTAAACTCATTTACATATCTTTGTGTCGTTAGGAAAGTCTTATCCTTGGTGCACCACAAGAAGCTCAGGTGTGTTCTTCCACAATTTTCAGCCAGGTCTCAGATCCTTGGGAATCCAAGGTGCATTTCAGGTAGAACCAAATCTCCCTGGTTTTTCTTGTGAGATTGTAATGTACCACTGAATAGCAAAACCCAGGTCCAGGAGCTGCAGCCACAGTTGAAAGGAGAAGTGCTGTCCCTTTTTCCCAAATCCTTTGCAAGTTCAAAGGGTGAAGTCAATAACAGCATGACAAAAAAAAGAGTCTGTGTAACAGCCAAGGAGCAGTTCCACACGCCACAGTTCTGGGAGTGACCCACAGGTTTAGCTTTTGCTACCGTGTTACCTATGAAAGAAGAGGAAAGAGTTACTAATATAGAATTGACCAAAAAAAAAGATGATATCAGGTGCATTGTTACTGCAAAAGAACTGTGCACACAAATAGACAAAGAATGAACTTGCCCCAGCCACACCTTTATAGCGCACAGAGAAGCAGAATCTCTATAGAAATGTTAATTACATGTTATTTGATAGCATGAGGGGGATTTGCTTGGCAATTCACCATTAAATTTGCCACCAACCTCTCCCGGACATCTCCTATTTTACTTTGCTTCGTGTCATTCCCAACACCAATGCCTCCAGCACAAGTGTAGGATTTACATCCCAAAGGGCCATTCATGCAAACTGCTGCCCATTCCCAAGGCTCCATCCTATGGGAGGGAATCAGGGACCAGGCAGCACATAGGAATAAATTGTTCTTGCAGCAGAAATCTCCCCCAGCCAGCAGAACCCCCACAGGACCCTGGAGGGGCTGCAGGGATGTGTTCAAGCCTTGATGCACACACAGGGCATAAACCCAGCAGCTCTGGGTGCACAGTGAGGAGAGTCCTGCTGGATTTCCTGTCCTGGAAAAGGACGAGAACAGGCAGCTGGAAGGAGGAGAGCTTTGTCAGCTCTGCTCTGCAGTGTCTACATGTGCCACAAAACTAAACAGACACTCAGCACTGAGAAGTTTTTATTTAATTCCCTGAGGGAACTGATAGAAGATGCAAATTCCTCAGCTTTGCACATTTTAACTGTCCCACTCAGACACGAACTATTCATCTAAATGCTGAGTAGTGTCAGCAGTCTCCTCTGCTTCAAATATTTTAGTTACACTATTTTTGCTTATTTTCATGGAATGAAAAGATAGAGGCCTTAAAGTTGATTAAATGACATTTCCTCTTTCAGTGTATAATTAACCTGTGGAAGCCACTGTCCCACGTAGCACTGATCCCAGGGTCTTAAAAAGCTTTAAAAATTGATTACAAATTTAAATGGTAATGAGATCATCTCTGGTGCATAACACAGAAAAAAATTAGCATGGAATGGATCTCAACTATTGTGTTTTAGACATAAGGCAACTATTAAACTGGAAAAAATTCATGGATGCATACACTTTCTGTAATTGTCCCAAAGGGTTTTGCTGTGTCTGATTTGAGCATCCCATTGCTGAGGCTCACAGGTGGCTGAACAGTTTGGGCTATGGGTCTGACAGTTCAAATAGCCCTTTGTGTAAAATTTTAATAACATACCTAAGAAATATTTTGTTTATTGATCTGAGACAAATCTTTGGTTCGTTTTCAAAATAAAAATATATATTATGCCATACTTCTCTTTTCCCTGTGACAGGGGAACTTGTCTTTCCATTCTAGCTTCCTTATGGCTGTCCAGAGGAAGGAAGAGGCAGCTGCATGACCTCACTCATCAGTGCCAACACTAAAGTCTTTGTTCTGTCCCCCACCCCTCGAGTGTCCGTGAAGGCATCAAGGATAATTGATATCACTCAAAGGATAATTAACCTGACTCGCTCTTCTCCAATAAAGCCCTTTTGGTATAAACTGTCAGCTCTCTTCTGGTGTGTCCAGAGATGAAGTTGTCTTGTACAATATCTAGAACTCCTGATTCTCCAGTCTCACCCTTCAGTGTGATGCTACAATGCTACTCCTTATCTACAAATGAGTAGTTAAAAATCAGCTCTGGGAAAAAAACCTGAAAGGCTGAGGCTGATCTTTATCTAGCAATAACTGAGTCCCAGTTATCCACATTGATTCCAGGTGTAGTGTCCACCACAGGAGATCAGCAGGACCCAGGCATGCTGTAGACTACATTTTTGGCACTTGATAAATACCATTGGCCATAGAACCATAGAGAGGTTTGGATTGAAAAAGTTCTTGAAGGTCTTCTAGTTCCAACCCCTCTGCCACGAGCAGGGATGCCACTGTGCACTGCAGACCAGCAGTGCCACACCATGGCTGCCCAAAACATCCCATTTCCTCTCATCCATCCAGAAATCAGTGCAGTTTTCACTCCTCAGAACAGCCTTCACTAAACAGCATTTGGTGACAGTATTGCTTATTAACTCAGACTGTAACCTAATGAAGAACATTCTTTCCCAGCTAGAAGAGGCTGTAAAGGGAAAAGCTGAGCATATGTCTCTCCCTGCTATTGCCTGCTAAAGACTCCTGGTTTATGATGTACTTAGACCTGCAGTTTGCTGTGACTTGTTGAACTTCAATGCACTGAAATAATTTTAAATTGCCAAGCAGACAGAGGACATTATATTTTCTCTCCATTAATTAAGAAATAAGATGACATAGCAAAGGTCTGGTTTGAAAAAAAAAAAAAAATCAGGCCAGCTACAGGGTGGTCTGTAATTAGAAATATTCTGAACCAGCCTGATTTCCAGGGGTGCTCAGTGTGGCACAGTGACATCAGTGCAGGTTCTCAACAACTCCCGAGCCAGACTGGTACTTTCAAAAGATATGAGGCTGTCCAACACAAGAATCTAACTTCATGTGACAGTGGTAAAGATCTTGGATCCCTGTATTCAGTCTGCAAATTGAAGAATTGGTTCTGGAACATGATTATCCCTCTAGCACTGAGCACAACAAAAGTTTCTTTGGCTCACTGCAGACTGAATCAGGAGCATTTTCAGTGTGACTGCAGGAATGAAGGGGCAGCTCTGACCTAATATTTCCTCTCTGAGAGCAACTAATTAATCACAGCTTTCCAAAACTTTGAGAAGGCCAAGACTGGGGCTCACACCCACAGACACAATGCAATAAGAGCAATCAGCAGACTGGCATCTTTAAATACAGGTGATCTCTGTACTTGCCTTTGTGGTTTTGACTTTATTTCCACTGCTGCAAGACCAACCTGAATAGTCTGGTAGTACTTTACAGTCCTCTCCATCCAAACAGGGGTTCATGTGACACCACCACTTCTGCAGGACAATGGAAGCTAGAAAAAAAGCAGCAAGGAAGAGAAACAATATCTTTTTTATCACCCTTGTGGTTTTTTGCTGCGAAGGTTGTCTGTGCCATTAGTTGATTTCAAAAGGTAAAATCAACAATTACTGGTTTAACAGTGAATTACATGGAGTGTGTTTGAGGTAAAAAAGTGGCTAAACACCAGCCCTCTGAAGGTAAATGCCATACCCAAATGATAAAGAGGCAGGCACCACCAGAGACTGATTCCAACATTCGAAGTTGCCTTTCCATCTCCACAGATTACAAAAATTACTTGCCTCCTTCATTTGCATGCTTCAGTCCAGAACCTGCTGTGAGGGGGGGGTGAAGCTGAGGCTTCTTGTTTAAGCCATACATGCATATGGGAGACTGGACAGAGAAATGCCAGCTTCTTCCTTCACTGGGTGAGAAAATAGAATTGCACAGAGATGTAAACCCCAGAGGTGTGTCAGCAAATACTGCAGGTAAGAATGGGGAAACCTCTGGCAAGCAGTAGAATATTGACTAAAAATCCATTTGCAGTCACACTGCCACTTCTGCAATATGTTTTGGAAGGCTAGAGTTGTAGACCTTAACTGGACAAATTTATTAATTTTCTACCCTTAAGCCAATTTCTATTAGGACCATGCCTGTTATTTTTAGAAATGTATTCATGACCTTATAAACCTGCTGTTAACAACAGCACAAACAAACACCTGCACGCATTTATCAGTTTTGCATTGTTCATGGCACTCAAATCCCAGAAAATTATTATGAAATATATCAGTACACAATCCTACATAATCTATATTGGATTTCAAAATAAAATATGGCTTAAGATGTGGATTCAGCTAGTCTGCATTATGCTACTATGTGCACGAACTATTGAATCACATGCTTTAAAAGATAACACATTCAGAAGAGATGAACAAAAATAATGGAGTCTGCTTCTTGTAAAGCACTTTTTTTTCCTTTTAATTTCAAGACATATTTGTTCTTCTGCAACCTTTAAATTGGGGTGTCAAGCAGGGAAGCTGACATCAGGATATTGCTGAAATGTTCATTCAATTACTTTTGTTTTGCGCATTTAACTGAAAAATGTTATGAAAAAATACACTTCTGGAACACTGCTATGGCTCTTATAAACTAATCTTTCAGTCTTACAACATTACAGAATAAATGTATGAACTTTCACCAGTCATTTGGGTCTCAGATCATTTGCATTGATACTGATTGATCGTGGACAAAAAATGGGTGAAACCTGACTGTGCTTCCAGGGAGGTGAGAGATAAATATTTGTGCCCAACAGGGCACAGAGAAAAACAAAAAACAAGGGGATGGAAGGAGGCACCATGATCCTTCCTGGAGGAGTGGGAATGAGGAGTGGCAACCACAGGTCTGCTGGGGCAAGCGGGGCTGGGGATTTGGGGTGGGAGCACCAGGGACCAGCAGCAGAGAGAATTGCTGCCCTATTGCAAATTATCACCACTGCTGGATAAGCAGGCCTGAAGTTCAAGGAAAATTAAGAAAAGCTACAAGCCAGTTGCTTTATAAATTTTTGGTTTGCTTTTGTTTTGTTGGAAAAATAATTCTATGATTTGGGTGTATCCTTCCCTTTAAACTCAGGCAAATTAAACAAGCCTGCACTCAGGACAAACGTGCTGGAAAAAGCCCCTAAATGTCTGTGTCAGCCTGTAGTATGCAAATTGAAGACTCAAACAGTTTCTTGCTTTCACAGTGTAGGAGTCTACTGAAGGGTATGTACAGAGTGGGAGAAAACACCTCAGATCCTGAGACTGAGGAAAGAGAGTTTCAGCTTCTGTGCTGCAGCAACTCATTCTAGCCCCAGATGCTGGCAAAAATAAGCAAAGCCTGCTAAAGCATTACCCTAAGGAGTGAGGGGGAATCAAAGGCTTCCACTTGAAAAGTCAAAATCTTACATTCATAATATTTTGCTGCACTTAATTGCAGCTATGCTTGAATAAAAAAAAACCAGCTGTTAAATTCCTTCAGTAACTGTTGGCTGAATCAAGCTTCAGCAGTATTTATATTTCTGCCATAGAATGACAGTGTCACCTTTGCAGCCTTTAAGTGAGTTTAAAATAATGCCTGACTTCTATTATCTGTTATATGCAAAAGTATTTCTGCTATTTGATGTGTCACCTAAGAATGCAGAAGACACTTCTGATGTAACAAGAAAACTCCCTAAGAAAATGCACTGTTAAACTTAACAGTATTGCTGAATTATAAAGCATAAAAACACTAGGCATCTAAAAATCTTTTTTAAAAATCTCCTTTTTAAAAATATCTTTTTTGACAGCTTCATAATAGGTTAAAAAAAATCAAAAACAAGATTCACATGTATTTAGAGTTCTATGTCTGACATTAAGTATTTCTGAATATTAGATTAGAATTGGACTTTGAAGCTTTTTGTTTTTATGTTTAAGTGAATTGGTTGCAATTTTATGTGCAAAAGAATAAAAACAAGATTTTCCTTATGAATTAATGAAATGAGGGATTTTGGTAACTTTAAGAAAAAGTCTGTCTTGGAGTAGATTTACTTACTCAACAAGAGCAGCAACCCCTACAAAAAATAGGCACATTAAATGGTGAAATATTGATCTAGAGAAAAGCTCTCCATGTCAGATGTCCAGCATCATCTGCATGCCCAGTCTTAGGGTTGCATTTATTATCCAGGGAATTTTTAGCCAAGCCACTAAGTCTTAGGACATCTGGAAGAGTTAATATCATAAGCTTGAATTTCTTGGCTTACGCTGCTTTCAAACTAGTTTTAGAGGAGAATTCTTGTGTTAAAAAATTAAGAAGTTTTATTGGCACAGACATGAAATGGCCCAGTACATACATTAAGAGGATTAATTACACCAAGATTTATGCACAGGCTCATTATCATCAAGGCACAGAGATGCTTCCGAAACGAACAAAAGGAAGGATTACGCTTTTTTTGCGGCAGTGGGAAGTCAGACATCAAGGAGAATGAACTCCTCCAACAACATTAAGGAGCCAGGAGCGAGCGGAGGCTCTCACCTTCCACGCAGGAGGGCTGAGCCCGCGTGGTGCCGGCCACCTGGCCCGGGAAGCAGGAGCACTTCACGGTCTGGGAGCGCTCCTCGATCCGGTTCTTGTTGCAGCACCGGTGCACGGCCACCACCTCACACGTCCCTTGCTTCACTTGGTGCTGGCCTAACAGTCCCAGGGGTGAGGGATGGAGAGGAAAAACACATCAGTGCCTGTGAGAAACTGTCCGAACAGGATGACTCTTGTGGCAGGGGGGAGCGATGAGGAGGACTTCATCATATTAGAAGGTTAATTAATTACTTTGTTATACTGTATTATTTTATACTATATTGCATTACATTTAAACTGGTTGGAGTAATCAGTTAGATGATGAAGGCAAAAAGACAGAGCACACCCATCTTCCTTTGCCTTCCTGACATCCATCAGGTTTTCTATTTAATTCTTTCCCTTCATAAATAGACACAGTGGATAGGATAATATTTAATACAAGAGAGACATCTTAAATAGTAGGGAAACTTTTTAACACATCCACACATAAGCACTGCTTGCTATGCTTGTCATCACAGACAGGCTGAGAACAAGGTAGGCTGTAAAGCTGTCATAGTCAAGTTTTGTCCAAAAGAAAAAGAAAAAATACACCCAAAGTGTATGGATTTCTTCAGTTCCCTCCCAGATCATTCTGAATAAACCTCTCATAAATATTGTGTCCTCCTGCTTTTCTCATGTTCACTATCCCCTGTTTCTCCAAGTTAATTTTTCCCCTCCCTTTCTCTTCCTTGCTCTTGACTTCACATTTCACCTCAGTGCTCCTTGCAGCTGATCATTTTCCTCCACTGCCCAACTTCCTCTCCATCCTGCCTAAACCTCCTCTCAGCAACTCCACTTCACAAGCCCCTCAGCTCCTTGCACAAGTTATTTCCATGTCCTCACTTTCCTGAACAGCCTTCAAGTGCTTCATCTTGCATTTGTCTTGTCTTATTTAGAGGAGAGCCTTGGATGGCTCTTATCTGTGTTTGTAAAGCACCTTGTAAATTAACAGCACTACAGAGCAGGGTGAGTTATTTCATAAGAGAGAGACAGAGACAACACTGAGAATAACAAAAATAGTCACCATCAAAGCAGCACAAAGCATGAGAAGAGAGACAGCCCAGACACTGGTGCAGGTGTGGCTGGTATCAAAGGCACAGAGAATAAAGAAATGCAGGGGGAAGGCAGAGAGCTCTCCACAAACAGACAATCCTCCAAGTGACAAACCTGAGAATTATCCAGAATATTCCTCCACACTCCGTGTTTGCCCTGTTTGGAGGTTTTTGTTTGGATATTTTAGGTTGGTTTGGGTTTTTTGTTTTTTTACAGTATCTGCTGCTAACTAACATCAGGCACACCTTTGCAAATGAAATTTTCCTGAGGGATAAAAATCACTGTAATTTTTGTGCAGAAAATGTTATGACTTGATTAGGTGTGAAATCTTAACTTTCAAAAACAGTTAGCAATGCAATTTAGCCTTCTATGGGGGGTTCCTAAAAAAAAAAAAATTATTAAATACATACATATAACTTTTTTTAAAAAGTTGTCTTGGCAGTGTTCCTTCCTGTGTATGTTTTGGTTTCACAAGTATTTCAAGCACAGCTGAAATACTTGTGAAAACACTTGGCTGCCCGAATTTTGTTGCCAAATTTGTATTCATAACAACCTCAATGGACAAGAAACTATGCATATTCAATCTTGGAGTGGAAATGTGGTGTTCTACTTGAGCACTCAACTTTTTTAAAAAATTATATACAGAGATTTTGGGGTTTTTTTTCCTTTTTTTCCCTGAGGACAAAGCTACACTACTTTTAAGCAAAATGTGCTACAGTGGAAAAATGTATAAGGTATTTTACAGCAAGTTGGCAAAATGCTGAAGACAACATAAAAGTACCTTACAGAACCACTGTAATAAGTTTATTGTCAGACTCTGACTTTTCATGCAAGTACCTAATAACAAACATGAAAAAAAATGAAAACACCTACTAGTCAGGAGAACAGCAGCTTCTCTGTAAATCAATATGGAAAACACACGAAAGAGAAAGCAAATTTGCCACTTTATCCCAAAGTATTGTTCCTCAAAATACCTGACATGACAATGCTTGGAGAAAAGGTGGCACAAGTTCTGACAGAAAAGATTTTTGAAAATGAGATTGTTATTTAAGAGAGGTTGTTAATTTAATGGGGTTGTTAATATATTTATTAAATAAATGTTATTTTTTTTTCATTATCTGTTTTTTAGTGCTACAGCCTGAATCAATATCCTTTGGAGTAAACAGGAGAAAATTTCCATTGGTTTCCTACAGTGCCCACTGTGGTGGTCCTACATTCACTGGAATCAACACCAAAGTTTCTATTCCCTCCAGGAAAGCAAGGTCAGAGTCTGCTTGGTCTCTTGAGAATGAGATTTTATAAAGGAAGAAGTAAAAAGCAAAAATTTTGAGCTGCTCAGGCCACATATTTGTGTTTGCCATGTATCATCATCTGAAAAAACAAGTGGCCAGGCCTTGTCCTTAAGCAAAGTCACAATTCACCAGACATCAGATGCTGAGATAAGAGAAGTCTTTTTTCCAGAAGGTACATCATAAGGATGGACAAGATCCAGCTCCAAGGATCAATATGTAGCTGCAAGGATGTCTATTTTCCACCTCAGATCCTGCTTCCTTTAGGTGAGCAGTCCTGTTAAGCCAATACCAAAGGAAATCAAACACGCTGGCCCTGAGCACACAGCCCCAAAAACCTGGAGCCGTCTTTCAATTATCTCGTTTGACTTTTGAAGCAGCGACAGTGATGCCCTGAAGTGCCAGGAGTCAACAGACACACTCTGTTTGCAGAAGCTGAGATAAAGACACCCCCTGAAAGCAGCCCTTGGTTTAGGAGCTGTTTTACTTCACATTCCTCTCTGGCAGCTCCACGAGCAGGTGAGGGAAGGTGCCCCCTCTTCATCTCCTGGCAGGAGCAGGATCCCAGGTTTGGAAACACCACTGCCACACACGGGAAGGCAGCACTCCCATCCCTCACCCCTCATGCACAGCTCTTATGGAGTGCAGCTCTAAAAAGCCACAGACATCTGCGTGCATCATTTGCATTAATTGGATTGCCCTTGTAATAGTCTTTTCCCTCCTACACGCTCACATCGATATTTCCTCCTGCTTGTTCACGCACATCCTGACACTTTTTATGCTGTTGAGCACCATATGAATTTCTCCTTAATATTCAGACACATCTGTGAGCAGGTGTTGAACAAATGCTGAGGGTTAAAGTGGTGCCTTTCAGTCCTGTTTTTGCCACTGCTCAGAAATATAGAGGATAAACACTCATTTGCAGAGTGGCTCTCACATTTAAGAAAACTCACAGAAAATCTTAACCAAACCTAACTCAATCTCTTCCTCCCAGGATCTACTGAAACCTGTTGTATCTGCATTCAGGTGCCCAACAGCAGCAAAAAAAAAAAAGAATATAAGAATTCTCTCCTGCATGTTTTAATATTCATCTTGCACTAAATAAACCTTCACCTCAGGTTTAAAGTACACATAACATGCAGCTGAGATTATACTGACAGAAACACTCGAGAAATGCCTTAAAATATTTTATAATTGATGGATCCTCTAGAAGCCAAGTCATTAGAAGAGCAGGGAATTAAGAGTTTTCAAAATGTAAAGATTACAGTAAATGAATGCTGGCCACATCAGGAAAGCCATTTCAGGGAGAAATGCAGTGAGAGAGAGGGAGAAAAGCTGTGGAGAGCAAAGTCCATAAAATTCATAGCTCGTCACCTGTAAACCTATTCAGATCTGTGACTTCAGGGCTGTCGGTATTTGGGGTCAAAATTCGGTTACATCTTCCCTTTTAAATAAAAAAAATTCTCCAGAGGGAGAAACATTTTATCAGCAGCACCATCACAGAAAGGTCTCTGTCACAGAGCACCTTCTGCATGCTGAAGGGAGAGCATGGGCCAGCAGGCACAGAGCAGGACAGGGGATGGGTGTTGAAAACCACACAGCTCTCTGTTCCTCTGATCAGCAATTTGGCACGTGTGCTGCTATCCTTATCCTAACTTCTTTACAGCTTTTCTTCCCCAGAAACACCAGTGCTGCTCTGGTTCACTAAGGACACTTTCTCTGTCTCCCAGTACAGAGCACAGACACAATGGGACAGGGCTCCCTGATGGAAGCAACCTCCAGGATCCTCTTCCTCCCTGCTGGGAATTTTGCTGCCTTCCATAGTGAAATACCTACAGATACCAGCACCCTCAGGAGCCCAGACTCCCTGATGGAAGCAACCTCCAGGATCCTCTCTGCTGGGAATTTTGCTGCCTTCCATAGTGATACCAGCAATGAGATACCAGTAAGATAGTAGCCCTGGTCTAGAATGCTTCTTAATGACCTCAAGAAGTGGCCTCATGAAGGTTTCTGTGACCATTTATTTGTTATCTGTAGGATTTTTATCCCAGAAGAATGTGCTGTGTAGAGCTGCAAGGCAGCTCCCCAGGATCTCAGAGAACACAGACATCTCTGAAGAAGAAGAAAGCACAAACCAGCAACTTATTGGACTTGGACATTACAAGCCAACACAAGTGTTGTGAGTAGAGATGACTCAATAATCACTACTGAACTGTTTATTCTCAGTGGTATTCTTAATATTCTCAGTATTATTCTTAGTACTTTTTTTCCAACAAACATATTTGACAAGACCTTATTTTCACTTTCTTCACAGAAGTCAGAGGGCAGATACCAATTAATACTTCTAAAACTCTTTGAAATGCTCAAAAGAAAAGAGGGAAATACAATTGTTGTTAATAAAATATCAAACATGGTAGTGATGCACTTCAAAACCACAGGGAACATATCAAAGAAAGAAGGAGGCTTTCAGAAGGTTGCTAACCAATTCTGTCCACATGCATTTCATCTCTGTGACTAATTCTGATCACTCCCTGGGAGTGCTGTCTCAATGCAATATACATGCAGGCAGCACGCCTCTACCAGAAATCCTGAACAAACGCCTCTTTCTTCTCATTTCTTGGCTAAGAAACATAAGGAAAAGAAAAATTTCAAGGGAGTTTTTATCTCTGTTTCGTAATCTGCCACCTCTGGTGAAGAGAGCTACTATGCTGTGGAGAGCAGCAAATCTGTAGTAGG